CAAAGGTGTGGTGGGTGAGAGGATTCACCAGAGATTGATTAGGGAGCAGAACAGGCCAATCTAGGGAAATACACTGCTGAGGGGAGCAGCGGGCGGGTCAGGAGAGGTCTGCCATGCCATGTGAGTCAGCCCCCTTAAAGGGGATCGAACTCTTGCTTCAGTGTCTTCGGAGAGCTTCATAATGCAGTGATTTAACCCATTGTGCCATCAGGGAGAGCCCGAGTTCCAATTTCTTATAGAATGAAAATATATTTTTACATTGTCTTTCAAGATTCTATTAAAAAAATAACTCTGCCATCCTTTCAGTTTTATTATCTTCCCCTACCTGCCTAAACTCTACATGAAATAATTTCCAAGCAGATGTTATTTCCACCATTTTTCCCTTTGTATTTCTAACATTGAGGCCTCTACCTCATGCTATTCACCCGTCAAACCTAAACCATGCAATAAACCATGATGCTGTCCCTGACAATCCTCACTGTAAGTCATAAATGTCATTAAGTTTAGAGCTGCAAGGACCCTGAACAAGTCCTATACCAGTGAGTCTCACCAGTGGTGACCATATTCTAAGGAGATAGGGTGGCCTTGAGAGCGATATGTCAATCTTATTAAATTCCTTTTGTTTATAGATGTATTTATTTATGCAGATAAGAACTGGGGTGTAGGCCAGATGTTCAGGGGGTAAGAGGATTCACCAGAGACAGAGTGGGGAGCAGAATAGGCAGACTGACTGAAATGCACCGCTGAGGGGAGCATTAAGGGACATGGGAGGGTTCGCTGTGCCATGTGGATTTGGTCCCTGTCTGCAGATCAAACTCATGCTGCAGTGGCTGCTGATAGCTTCATAGTGCTAAGACTTCACCTCCTGTGCTACCAGGAAGGCCCTCTTCAATTCCTTTGTATGCAAAAAATAGGTGCAATAGTCTTTCTGATTCTAGGTGTAAGATTTGGGTTTGTCATTTCTGCCAAACATAATTTTCTCTATATTAAAAAATGAAAGAAATCGTATCAACTTGTATTTCATAGTTACCAAAATTAAGGTAAGAATAATTTTGCACCACAAATATGGACAATTTAGACACCATACTGTGGTAACCACTAGACATATGTAGTGATGAAATTACATTAATTAAAATTTAAAATTGATTTCCTCAGTCTTATTAGTCATATTTTAAGGACTCAGTAGCTTTTGTGACTAGTAGCTACCATACCCAACATTACAAATATAGAACATTTTTTAAACTACATTCATTTCTCTTGGGTGGTGTTTGATAGAATGCCCCAATTTCCTACATTAAGCCCACATAAATTAACTGATGTTGCTTTTGAATTGTATCTTATTTCATAATCCTTGAACATTCTTATGGACACTGTGAGCAAAGGGGTAGTAACAAAATCTTGGTTCTAAGACTCACTGATTAAGTGAAGGAAGCCTGTTTTCTTCCCACACATCTTAAAAATGGGGCTCCCCAATAATGAACAACCATATACCAGAGACATTTTGCGGAGGTGGAGTGGGGAATGGGATCAAAAACGGGGGGCGGGGGAGAGGGAAGTGCACGGGATTATGGTGATGGCACATGGGTGACTTGGTGATGGAAAAAACGTGGGGATTACAATTGAGATGGGGAAAAAATGTACAAAATGATGTAAAAATAAACTGTTATAAAATTAAAAATAATAATAAATAAATAACGGGGCTCCCTGAACCTTATCATGAACCAGCAGCAATCATGGGGATGGACAGAGAGCCAGCCCTGACACCTCTCCTCACCAGGAAAAGGGTCTGAGACCAGCTTTACCCCACTTTAAATACCAAGTGCCTGATAAAGGAGGGCTGAGGTCGGATGCATATGGGTTAGTCATTTAGGAACTTGAACTTATCTAAATATGATACCTCAGAATCTTATTATCTCCAAAGATGGGAGGGTAACAATTTCAGTGGATTCCACAGAGAAAGGTGGTTCAGAAAGAAAGGTGATTGAGACAAAGGCCTGCCTTGAAACAGTGCCTCTTTCCCAGGACAGCCTAGAGATACAGGTCATGCTCTTCTGCTACTTGTTTGATGAACTTAGAACAGGATCCACTGAGGAGGTGGATTGCTGCACTTCTTTGATCCTTGCCTGCCCTCTGATGTTGAACAATCTCTCAGGAACCATCTGATGGAATCCTGTAGTTTCTGTTCCCTATTAAATTATCTCCAGGGTCTCTCTGCCCTTACAAAAGACTTACCCAGAACACTCGATTTCTCTTTTGACATCTGACAGCTTGCTCTAATTTCGCAGCAGTCCACTCTTTCGCACTTTTAAAATTCACCCAAATCCTATATCCAAACTACAATGATTTGATCACTGAATAAAATCCTGTCCCATATGGGATGTATATTAAAACAAGGGCTAGCATTTAAATTGATTTCTATGCTCTTAAATATCTTTCCATGGTAGATGGGTTTTTCAGAATTTACAGTCTCTGGAATTACCACTGCTCTGACACTATGGGCTACAGAACTAATTCTGCCACTAGGTGAGCTACCATTTCCTGACTCAGTTGATATTGGGTCATTCCAGGCTCTCCAAAGTCACTTTATACTCCCATTTGTGCTCAATACAAACAATGGCTTATAATGTTTATGGGCCACTTATAATGTTTCATATTCATTTCAACCCAAATAAGAACACTTCCTTCTACTAACAGACATTCTGTCACTTTCTCAAAGACCATTTTAAGGCTTCCTTTCAAGTAAAAGAATTCCTTAACTGTGTAATCACTGTAGATTTTTGGCTCATCTTAGCTCTTTTTGTTCCATTTACTTCTAATGTATTTGGTTCCACATACTTATAATGTATGCTAATACTTCTCCCTGATTTCTTGAAGTCTGGGACTTAATTATTTAATTGCCCAACTTTTACAAAAATGTCTAAAATGTACTTTCTTAGATAATGAAGTTACAACAGGCAAATAAGATTCTAAACCAAATCTTGAAAAACCCACCATTTATATAGAGTTCAAGTAAAAATATATAATATACTTGTTGATTAATGAACTCTATGATGACTATAACTGTTTATAATTATAACGAATAAAAGGTTTTGGATGTTAAGGTAGTATATAAAATTATATTTTTTAAAAAAGGACTAGTTAAATTTTCAGTAATGCCAAGTATAAGGATCAGCCAGATTTTATTTTTTGGGTGGAAAGGGGAGGGGTAGGTGAGTTTAAAATGAAAGAAAAACATAGAATGGCTACACGGAGAAAAATAACTATGTCATGAATAAATATAACCAGCAGAGGAGGAAGAAAAAGCTAGAGTATAGAATAAAAGTGATCGTTAAAATAGGAAATTGTAATGTAGCATAAATATAGAAAATCATGAAAACATTTGATTCCATTCTGTTTCTGAAGAGGAATTAAGTGATGTGATTAAAAAAACAAGAACATCATTTAATTTCTTGGATTAAGAATGACTAGAAGTTTGGCCCTCCCCAGTGCCCAGCGGGTTAAAGCAGAGCACTAAGAAGCCAAAGAATGACTACAAGTTGCAAGGACAATAGAAAAATTATTACAATCAGTATAACTCAAAGTTCTTTTACAATAAAACAAATGGATACTTGAAAATATACTTTCAAAAATTCTCTCCCATTTGTCTAATTAAAGTCTAACCCAAAGGTATATAAGGGAACTGTCCGTTTAAAAACTGGAATTTCTTGATTTTTTTACCTTTTTGTAGACCAATCCAGTTACGGCAGTTTTAATTTTTGCTGACGTGAGCATGTTAAAACGCTGATATTGCTGAAGGATCAGGGTTTGCAAAAAGACGACAACAAACAGTAGCAAGGCATAACCATAGCCCTTCCAGTCAAGATCTTGATGGTGCTCACAGAAAATGATCATTTGCCTGAATGTCATGTAAACATTACGAAAGGGGAAGAAATATGAAATATCTTAAGTAGTTTAAATGTTTGGATTTAAGTTAACAAAATGTTACACAATCACACGCAAACATTCTTAGCTTTTCTTTTTCTCTGCTTGACTGGTTTAGCATCCATCCCCCTTGATTTTTACTTAAGCATTTTAGAACAAGGCTTAGAACTTGGTTACATTCTGTAAACACTATGTTATCATCTAAATTGAAAAAAAAAAAAACTATTATTCTCACATCCATAATGCAGGCAAATCTTACAGCATTCCCCTATATTCACCAAGGACCTTCCCTGCTCTTTTTTTTTTTTTTTAACATACTTGGATTATCATTACATATGGGAAAATTAAAAAAAAATAATAATAATAAGGGTCTACTCACTTCATTATGAATGGACTCGTAAAAGCCAAGACATCAGCAAACACTTTGAGTAAAGCAACTTGAATCAGGACAAACTTAAAGGTGTTCCACAAGGCACAGAACAGAGATGGTTTCCTTGTTGGAAACTCTTTCTGAAAGGATGGCTTTAATTTACAGAATTAAGGAAAATAAAAACAATGTGAAAACTGGACAGAACTAATATTAGTGTATGCAAATTAGCCATAAAATTAGCAATGCACTCCAGAGATATTAAGGCAATAATAAATGGATTTCTTTATAATTGGAAAATATGACTTATACTATAACTCAATTGGTGTTATTTATAAATGAATATAAATGGGTAAGGAAAGGAAAACAGTTGTATTTCATCACTTTTGTACTTCAACTCTATTTCATTCATATTTTATCTTCAAATTTTCCTTTTGAGAAGTCTAAAGATAAACATGTGTGTTTGTGTGTTTAAACATATATATATATGCACATATATATATATATATATATATAGTGCGTATATACATATATTTTTTTTTTCACCTATGATGGTAAACACAGAGTACCTCTCCCTACCTCATCAACATTGGCCTTGATTACCATATGACTCATTTTGTCCCTTAGACATAATGTTCTGCATTATAGAAATCATCTTTGCCATGTTGGGTGAAAAAGATATATTTTATAAGGGGCAAAAGAAATTAACACTTTTTTTCCCTGAAATTTGAAAGGAAAGGATGTTGAATAATTGAATGACAGATAGTAGCTGCAATAACAACAATTATATTTATGGAAATGGCTTGTAAGTTCACACATTTTGGAGTTCAATAATAATCTCCTTTCTCATATATGGAACAAGTTTTGTCTAGTTTTAGGTAGTAAGTAAGCATTTAGAATTTAATAATTAAGTACCTGTACATTTTGCCTCTCTTGATGCCTTAAAACTTCCTTCCTCCATTGTTTTTCAAAGATGGGACACACAGTATAGGAGGAATCACTTTCATTTAGTTCAAAAAGATCTTCTCTTTCCAAAGGTTTCTTATAGCCTAAAACAATTATTCTAAAAGTAAAAGAACAAAAATTAACAATTCAGCAAAGTCAATAGAGAAAGTAAAAATAACTTTGTATGCATTTATTTCCCATCTTCATTTACAAATTATTTTATTCACCAGGATGCAGTGACTACATTAGGGATTTGAAAAAGCTTAAAACGTTATCCCAAAGTTCAATAATATGCAATAATCTGTTGCTTCTAGAAGGGCTATCTACCATTCAGTTATTCAGTGAGATACTCACTTCACTTATCCATCTCTTAATTGACACACCAACCTACTCAACCTCACCAAAATTTAAAGAACTAAATTTCACAGTAAGGTATACTCTCCAGAACCCACATTTGTTTTTTTAGGCTAGTATCAGAGGGAAAATGGAACCAATCTCTGTAGTTACAACTTCCCCTTTTCCATGGGAACTTTATATATGTTCTGCCACTTGGCTTTACAGATTGACTAAGTAGATTGTTGAATGTGAATAAATACAATAGGCAAGAACAATGAGTGTAAACTAGGACTATCCCAAGCAAAGATGCATTGTTTAATTATACTACAGAAATTGTGTCAGACAATTCCACTTAACTTACAACCGCTCTTTTGTCCCACCAGAATCCTCTAACATGAATCTTAATAGTATTTCAGCTAAAAATCCCTTGAACTCAGCATAATTCATTATCCCAGCTACAGAGCTAGGGATCAGAACTAGTCAAAGCTAGTCCTAGAAATATCATTGCCTATTGCTTGGCATTATTAACTCATTTGTGGCTAAGGATTCGTGCTTTCTCTGAAGATGAGAACCTCCATTTTCAAGCAAAATCACAATATATCAAGAAAAGAAAACACTTTGCTTCCATTTTCTTCCCCCTCCTCCCTGAAGACGTGAAGTTCTAAAATAGAGGAGACATTTTTTGCCACCATGAATGAAAAGCTGAACTATAGTGTTGGGAAATGGTAAAAGAGAAAAAGCCTGAGTCCTTTAATATATTCCTTTTTTTTTAGTCTCATATATATATATGTGTGTGTGACATAAACATATGTGTGTGTGTGTGTGTATTTACATCATTCTTCATTTTGTGCATTTTTTTCATCTCAGTTGTAATCCCTGTGGACTTTCAACCACCTGTTCACCTATGTATTATCACTTTATTCTTGTGCACTCTTCCCACCCAGTTTTGATCCTATTCCCTCCCCGCTCCACCCCCATAAAATGTCTCTGCCCTTTATTATATTTTTTAGCTTACCCCCCCCCAATCTTCTTCCCAACAACAGAAGAAAATATATACCTACTTGTTTAAGGTATTATTGTTTCTTAGTTAGTTCTGTTAACATTATCTGTTACTTTAAGCCACACATTCTCCTAGGGATGTGATTCAGCTATACTCATCTTATGAGCTTGGTGACATGACTTGTTCAGTAAGAAATTAAAGCTACATTTAAAGCCCATCTTCTTAATCAGTAGCTTCAGTTCATTCCACTATAAAGGCTATTAGTCTATAAGTCCAAAAGATCAACCAAAATATTACACTACTCCAAGTTGGGACAGCTTCCATTGTTATTGTTATTGAATAAACTCAATTGAGTAACCCTGGAATGGATTTAAACCCTGTGGTAAACACAGTCTCCACTGGGTTCAATTTTGTTTTCATTACATTATGATATGTCATCCTATCAGTCATATTTAAGAAAAAAGCTTAAATGTAATGAGAAAGGACCTTCACATTTTCATTGGTTCAAATATTCTGGACATTTTCCTGCAGTGCACTTTTAAATACATATTAAACAATAAACTTCTTTCATGTCATATTAAGTCCTTCTATTCCATTCCATAAAATAAATACTCATTTTCAAAATAAGGCGCATTGATTTTCACCAAAGCATTTTTAATAACATTTACTGCATCAGCATTTTTAGTTAGAACTATGCAAAACTCAGCGGTTTTGGTTCATGGGGTAAGTGACCCTTGGCTTTCATGCTGAGTCTCCAAATAATATAGCATCTAAAAGTGACACTTAAGCTGAATTGATTGTGATGCACATGGCTTGGCTGTTTAACTACTGTGACTCTCTTTTCCCAGGTGTGTGCTTTCTCCTCTTCTTGAATACTTTTATCACACAGGCTGGGCTTACATTCACATACAAGAGTCTAGGGAAAGAAACAGTGTTCCTCTAAGTGCATATTAAGGTAGTTTTTTGGGAGGCAACAAAGACCAATAGTTGACTGTCCTGATAGAAGTGTAGCATGCACTCAATCTTAATGACTTGAGGACTTCATTTCTAAAGTCATATATTATTACATGGGTTATTTCTTTTCAAAAGACTTTTACTTCAATGAATTTGATTTTCACAACTCTCTAAAGTAGGCAAAGCAGTATTTAGTTTCCTCTTTTATAAGCAATGTAACAGGAACTCCAGAAACTGGCCACAGGTTTTTAAATGTAACATAAAGCGGTGCTAACTTAATAGACAATATCTTCAAGTATTGTATTTCCCTTCCTTTTTTTTCATTTTTTAAAAATTTAATTTGATTTATGTATGCAAGAACTGGAGTCTAGGCTAGAATTGTGGGGGGTGAGAGGATTCAACAAAGACAGAGTGAGGAGCAGAACAGGTGGATTTACTGAAATACACTGCTGAGGGGAGTAAGTAACAAGTGTGACAGTGGAGGTCTGCTGCATCATGTGGGTCAGCTCCTTAGATGAGGATCAAACTCATGCAGCAGTGCTTGGTGATAGCTTGACAGAGTTGAGACTTCAACCTGTGCCATTGGGGAGGCCCTCCATTCTTCTCTCAGTGTTGTTATCTTGGAACTTTAAGAATATTAACAAGTGTGTGTGAATATTTATCCAATTGATCTTGAGAGTAGCAAATCATTGCAGTTAGCTAGGAAGGTAAGATAAAATGTAAACTGTGTAGATAAGTAATTTTTGAAAACTTGGAAAGTATGGATATAGAGTAGTATTGTCAATTTTATTTCTATCAATCGCCTCAAAGATTTCTGGAAAGGGGTCATTCATTATATGATAGGAAAAGAAAGAAAAAAAGGCTGTCTGAAAAAAGTGTAGGCTGTGGCAAAGTCAGATATAATGAAAATTTTTATTAAGATGTGAGAAAAGGTAGGACAGATTGAATAGTGAATATTTCTTTAAAAATGGTACAACTGTGACCTATAAAAACTTGAGCTAGATCTTTCCAATTGTGTCAAGGGGATTATTCAATGACCATGATTATTATACACTGGTGACAGATTATATTTGCTAATAAAGGCTTCATAATTATTTGATCATCAGAACGCTCTCTACAGCTACTGCCTTAGGAATTAAGATTCATAAGCATATCATTCCTTAATCATTTGTATCATCGGTGTACATTTTAATTGAATTATTCATATAATTATGGAAGCCTGAATTTGGCCTACGAAATAATTTCTGACTTTATTCAGTAGCTCAAAGAACAGATCTGAGAACACAATTAACCACTGTCTGCTATAATTCTTTAATCACCAAATAAGAAATCAATTTGAATTCATGTTAATGACAGTGTCAGATAACATTTTGCTATAAAAAATAGTCCTATCTAGGCCCTCCCTGGTGGCGCAGCGGGTTAAAGCACAGTACTGAGAATCTGAAGCCACTTCCGCATGAGTTCGATTCCCGCCTGCAGCCTGCCCCAGAGGAGACCACATGGCGAGCCAGACCTCTCCTGACCTGCCCGCTGCTCCCCTCAGCAGTGTACTTCGTAGATCTGCCTGTTCTGCTCCCCACTCTGTCTCTGGTGAAGCCTCTCACCGCCCCTGAGCCTCTGGCCTGTACCCCAGTTCTGTATGCACAAATAAATAAATAAATCTTTAAAAAAAAAAAAATAGTCCTATCTAGCTCTGAGATGTTAAACAGAAAATAAATGTGATACTCAACTATTATAGCTTATTGATTTGTTTAATATAGGTACTTCAAGATAGTAAGTCGCCATATTTTTAACTATGCCTTATCTTGCTTCAGTTAACTTAATCCCAGTTCTTTATTTTTGTCCCCTTTAGTGTTTATAATATTTACCAGAAATAATATAAATGTAAATATATAATTTTATATAAATACATATAATTTTAGTTTGACAAAACTAAAAGTACATTTATTTATAAATCATTTTAATTGTATTATTTAAATTTTATGATATCCTGTGATTTAAAAATGATAGTCTGAAATATTTTAAAGGCAGAGCATATGTTATTCCTTCTCCCAATTCATGAATGAAACAGAATTCAGATTTGGAAGACATATCTACTCCTATTTGAAAATTAAAAACTCAAAATCATTTACTGTAAATCACCCACATTTACATAATTCTATCTAACATTTTCTTCTAATGTGAAACAATGTAGCATCCTGGTATAAAATTATTGCCATCTTCTTTAAGTGATTTCGAGATTTATCTAATTTGGTATTGTAATTCAACTTCTGCCTATTTCTTTGATCACCAAGTATACTAAAGTTTTCTACTTAAACTACCTTATAAAAATCACCAATGAGGGCCCTCCCTGGTGACGCAGCTGGTTAAAGCACAGCACTGAGAAGCTAAAGCCACTTCCACATGAGTTCAATCCCCGTCCGGAGGTGACACTGCAGACCTCTCCTGAACCTCCCACTGCTCCCCTCAGTAGTGTACTTCATTGACCTGCCTGTTCTGCTCCCCACACTATCTCTGGTGTCTCCTCTTACTGCCCCTGCACCTCTAGCCTGTACCCCAGTTCTGTATACATAATAATAAAATTATTTTTAAAAAATCACCAATGACCTTTAAGTTGCCAACTTTAATGGAATGTTCAGTTCATATTTTAATTTACTATTTTTCAGTATGTGGCCTTATTGGCTACTTTATATTTTTCCTTTATTTGACAGCCCTTAGTTTTTAATCACATTCTTTCCTTAGCTTTTCTTAAATATTCTGAAAATGTTGAGGATTCTAAATACCTTCTCTGTCTATCCTATTTGACAGGCTCTCTCCGGGGCTGATCACATTCCATATTCACGGCTTCAACTTCTGACATACAGTAACTCCTAAATCCATATTCACAGGTCAGTGGTTTGCATCCCTAAACAGCTGTGTGATATTTTTTGAGGGGATGTTACAGCCATCTCAATTTGAAATTTCCCCAAACTGAACTCACAATTTTTCATCACTCCAGAAGCATACAATTATTGGAAGTAGAAACAGTTTTACTCTACATTTTTCCAATTCCTCAATTTCCTCATATAATCAACTCTCTCTCTTACATAGCTCCTGAGTTTCTTCCTTCCTCTTCATCATTTTTATCTTTACTGTAGTTCAAACTGTACCATTAAATTTCCCTGGATACCCAAAAAATGTGCTAACCATTCTGTCTTCATGCTCTCTCCCTTATACCATAGCCGCAACAAGGAAAATGTAACTTAGTACAAGTAGGATTAAGTCACTTTCCACTTAAAATTCTTCAGTGACTTCTCACTTCCTTTGGGAAACCCTAAAATGCTCTTCCTGACCTGCCCTCCATGGGGAGCTCTTGCCACACCAAATATCATCAGTGTGGCGCTCTGAGCAGATGGTTGTTTGCCCCATATCAAAGGCTACCTGGCTCACTCAGACATTCTTGAAATGCTGGATTAAAACACCAGTTACTTGTGAAAAGTTCCCAGATTAAGCAAGCATGGCTAGGCGGCACTTCTGAAAAGTTGGGTTTATGTATAGACTTCCTTTTGTCTGGGCAACTGCTGGTCTACCTTTAAATCCACTAGCTCTACTACAAATTCTTCTACACTTTGCTCAGTGTTTTCATTTTTTGTTTTTTAAAGATTTATTTATTTATTCATATAGAACTGGGGTACAGGCCAGAGATGCGGAGGGTGAGAGGATTCACCAGAGACAGAGTGGGGAGCAGAACAGGCAGATCGATGAAGTACACTGCTGAGGGGAGCAGCGGGCGGGTCAGGAGAGGTCTGCCACGCCATGTGGTCACCTCCGGGGCAGGCGGGGATCGAACTCATGTGGAAGTGGCTTAAGCTTCTCAGTGCTGTGCTTTAACCCGCTGCGCCACCAGGGAGGGCCAGTCATTTTTTAAAGATTTTTTATGCATTCAATATTTGGGGTACAGACCAGAGGTAAGGGGTAAGAGGATTCTCCAGAGACAGAGTGGGGAGCAGAACAGGCAGATGGCCTGAAATACACAGCTGAGGGGAGCAGCAGGTAAGGCAGAAGAGGTCTGCCACCATGTGAGTCACCTCCCTGGCTGGGATCAAACTCATGCTGCAGTGGTTGCAGACAGCTTCATAGTGCTATGCTTTAACCACTTGTGCTACCAGGGAGGACCCTTTCTCTGTGTTTTTAAAGGTAGTATAGTACAGGACATCTATTACACAATAAACTTTGTTTTAAAAAAGGATTCACCTGTTCTTGACAACATACTGGCAGAACAAATTGGCAGTTTTTCCCAACTGTATGAAGAGACATAAGATGATAAATTTAGTGTTATAATACCAAGTCAGTGTGTTCCTACCTGGGTATCAATATCAGTGAACAATTGAACTTCAGTTTTCTCGCCATATGCCTATCTCACAGGACTTGGAGACGACTTAATGAAATGATATGGATGACGTACATAATGCTATAAACAATGTCTATCTGTCCCTCCCTTGTGCCAGCAGTTATGGATTCTATAAAGTACAGTCATACTGCCTTTATATTACATTAATACTCAAAACAATGGAGCTACTTTGTTATTATTTGTAATTTCTCTTGAGAATTTTTTTTTACAAACTCATGGGGAATTATTCATACACAGGTTCAAAACAGGAGCAGAAAGAGCACATCACTATGTGATGGCATGGGTGAATTGGTGGTGGGAATTCCATGGGGGTTACAACTGAGATGGAAAAGCATACCTTGAACAAAAATGATGTAAAATATATTAAAATAAAAAATATAAAATTATTCCTACATAGATTAAAGGAATAAAATTTGGGAGCCAGTTCCCACTGAATTTTCCTTGGCATGGTGAGCAAACAAATTAGCAAATGTCCTACCTGCTAAACCAGGAATATGTCATCTTACTGAAGAATGAAGCACTTTTCTCTGGACTACATTTCTAAAAAGAAAAAAAATATAACAAGTGGTGTATAAGGAAAATGTCTTTGACTTACACTGGAATACCCTTGTCAGCATTTAGCAAAGTAAATATGAAGTATATATCTTAGTATAGTTCCTGGAATTTTTTAGCGCATGGCTGTTTATACACCATCTGATAGTGTACACATATAAATATACACGTTATAAGTCAGCTGATACATACAAACATATGTGATCTAAATTTAAACATTTTAATTGCACAATTAAAGACTTTTTCTGAATAATTGATTTTAATAGATATTTATTTTACTTCTATACAGGTTCAGATATATACATAATTATATATATTATTTTGGCAGTTCTAACTTTCCATAATTGCCATCAGTTTGGTGAGTTTAGTTGAGGGAAAACTCCCTCAAGAATAATCCTTAATATTTCAAGAATCAGCAACAATTTCTTTGTATTTTAAAATGTAAAAGTGACTAAAATCTCCCATAGTTAATAACTTCTTCATTGATCTCTCTCCACCCCAGTTCTGACTTCATGCTCAAACTCTAAAAGTGTTTAACACATTTTTTAAAATTCTGATCCTAGAAATGATAAGTAAAACAAAATTTCACCTTATAAAGCAAAATATCCTGAAACAAGCATATCATTCAATTCCAAATCTACTGTCTGAGTCACAGCAATATTCTAGTATTAACCCTTGAAGATATATAATATATATATATATATATATATATATATATAAAATTTACCAGAATGGTATCTATCCTCATGGTTATGAGAAGTAAATGCAACAATAAATGTAAAATGTTTATCACACCATTTTCCCAACAATAGCTCAAACACAACTGTGACACTGCCATCAGTATTGTTACTAAACATACTATTTGAAAAGTAAGAGCACATATTATTGGGAAAATTTCTTGAGTATTCTCTATAATTAACCCAAAGTTCACATTCTATGAACTGGGTTCAAATTTCACAGGGAGTTGATAACTTTATAATTTACCACTAACAAGGATCACATATATATCTAAAACAGATACTTCTACAGCAGATTAGACTTGACTACAACTCCTTTGCAGCTTTGCCCACCAAAAAGTAGAATCTATTTTGTACCTCCTGAATCTAGACCAGTGCTGATTCTTGTTTTGTTCATAAAAATGCAATAGGGGGCCCTCCCTGGTGGCGCAGCACTAAGAAGCTAAACCCACTTCCGCATGAGTTCGATCCCTGCCTGCCCCGGAGGTGACCCACATGGCGTGGTAGACCTCTCCTGACCCGCCCGCTGCTCCCCCCAGCAGTGTACTTCGTCGATCTGCCTGTTCTGCTCCCCACTCTGCCTCTGGTGAAGCCTCTTACCACTCCTGCGACTCTGGCCTGTACGCCAGCTCTGTATTCATAAATAAATAAATCTTAAAAAAAATGCAATAGGGATGCCACTGAGAGTTTTAGGTCTAAGCCCTCCAGAAATCTGATATGTTTGGAATTCTGAGAATATCATGTCTGAGCCTGAGCGGGCCTCCAGGAGGATGAGAGAGCATGTGGGAGAAAATCAAGGTATTCATCTGACAGCCTGCTCTATTACCCAGAATGAGTAAATTTGTTCTAGATAATCAAGGTCCCCCTCTCCCCCCAACCCCTGCTCCAGCTGATTGCAGAAACCCAGCCAAGCTGACCCAAATCAACAAAGGGTCTAGCAGGATCAGTAGCTAATGAAAAAGATTGTTGCTTCACCAAGTGGTGAAAAAGCTGTTCTGCAAATAGTGTTGCAAAGCTACTTCTGCAGAACAAGGACTCGAGGTTTGACTTACCATTGCCTCTAGGGTAAAAACCCTCCTTAGATACGGGCCTGTGGACCTGGCATAATCCTGGATTTATCACAGTCAATGTCTCTCAAAGAAATACTTATCTTAGTAAACACCTTTCAGAAGAAAGAGTCAGCAGGTAAAATACCTGGTGAAGATAATTTATCTTTACAAAAGCGCATCTTTACAAGAATACATAAATGATTTCTCAATGACTGGGTAATTACAGAATTCATTGTAACGGCCTCACTACTTTTATTATTTCTAAATTGATGTAGAGCAATTTATGTGTAAAAGGAACTGATAATTCTGAGATATTTTTCAATATTCTAATCTATTCCCACCTCAACATCTCAATCCTTATCCCATATCTCAATCCTTCTAACTCACCTATTTTCAATCTGATAACACTTGTATTCTTCAGAGCAAATTGAAGCCCATGGCAGGCTTTCATTTTACTTGCCATTTTATTATCTTTTATACTTTATGCCATTGGACAACCTACCTTACCATTGCTTACTTAAGGGTATTTGAATGGAGGGAGGCCTGTTTTTTCTGGGTTATAGTGGAAGAACAGAGAGAATTAAGACTATAAAACTATGTGTAGCCAGCATCTAGGATGTAGTGAAATGCGTTGCTCTCAGTCTTGAGTATTAATTTGAACATAGCCTCATGCTTTTTATGACTGCTACCTTTAGTAACATCTTTTAATTCCTAACTTCAAGAGCTTCCAATTTGGGTTTTAGACAAAGGTTCTAGGAATAGTGGAGGAAGTTATAAAAAAGTAGAAATACTGGTTCATCATGGAGGAAAACACCTACAAGTAAAAAGAACTTAATCATCACTTATTTTGTGCCAGTTCTGACTATATTATCTCACTAATCATATATGTGGTGGAGCCATTTTAGCACACACACTAAGATGAGAAAATCAAGCGCCAGCATTTTAGAAACTGCCCAAAACCCCCCAACTAAAATGTATGAAAGACTGAAACCAATTCAGTTAGTCATTCTACCCTCCAGTCCGGATTCCACACTCTTCAGTTCTACCTGTTTGAAGCTGTTTACTGTTAGAGAGCATTTTATACTTGCCACTTCCTATTACTTCACTTCTAGCTTGTTCTTACTTGTGCTTTAATCCTATTCAGGATTCACTTCATTTGGTAATTTGTCTCTTTCCACCCAGACCTCCAAAGCTTAGATTCTTTTACTCTGTCACCACAGTATTGTCAACATACCCTAGGGGATTTAAGGGTCACTTGGATCTTCCCTCATTGAATTTATCTGCTCCTCACCCTCCCATCTAATCATTTGCTGACAAGTGTTTCTCTCCTGCTAGACTTAGTTCTTCTAGAAGACAGACCTATATTTGATTTACCTTTGTAGTTACAGTTTTCGCCTTGAATCTAGCCCATAATAAACATAGTTTCGATGAATAAGTGAATGGATAGATGAATGCCAACAACAAAAAAACATTTAAAAATATTCTATTCATAGGTCACCATGCCAGTCTTTGAAACTCAATCAGAAAGTCATATTCTTATCTTATAGATTAGGTAGATATTTTTATCTGAGATCTAATAGAGCAATAGTATAAAGTACTAGTAATGAATTATTACATGATTTTCAATATGCTTTAAAATCATCAACTTTTTGAAAAGATTGGAATCATAGATGTAACAGATAGAAAATGCAATTAAAATGAATACTTTCAATCTTGTCTAAATAGATTCCTTACCCCTAAAGCGATCTAGGTTATATAAAAGTCTAGGAAATAAATATGTTCAAATCTTCAAGAAAGAGTAAAGAGGAAGAGTGGAGAAGAAATGGTCTGAATTTATAACTTGTACTCCGCAACACTGTAGCATTAGATAAACCCTGCAGTTCCACCGGTGATATTAAACTAGTTTGCCCAAGTGAGCCCACCACCTCAATTTGAAATGATAATGGTAAATAAAATAAAAGTAAAATATGTGTATAGTCCTGAAAGGGCCCTTCCACACTTCTCAAAAAGATTGGTTCAGCCCTATATCTTACAGTTTAAAAAAAAAAAGAGTACTTTATATATGTGTATGTATGTATGTGTGAGTATATATATATATATATAAAACTATAATTTTGAATTTTCAAATTTCATTTTCTATATGACCAGAAGAATAGTTGTCCTGCTTATTTGACATATGCTTTACATACTATGGAAGCCCAGGGATAGAACAAGGTCTCCTGAATCTGATACTTTTTCCTATTGTAGAGCCCCAGGATTGTATAGTAATAGGTTAAAGTAATGGCACTTTTATGAAGAATATTGTTCCTAATATACAAAAGCAGGGTTCTCTTCCTTGGACCACTGCCTGAGCACATGACTTTTGTTGTGAAGGAAACACGTGACACCGTGGGGGGACAGAAAGGCAGGTTAAATGCCTGAAAATTCAGTCCTTACAGGCCCAATTCTATAACGCATTCTTCATCCTGAGGGTCTCCTATGGCTTTAGAGGTCTGGACCACTGCTTGTGGAATTTCTTCCCAACCTCTGCCCCTCCACTGATTCTCCTCTCAAATGTCTGGTTCTCTTTACTGGGATTAACCCATCCCTGTAAACAAAACACCTCCTTCCTCCAGCAAACAACCTGAGGATCGTGATGGCCCAGGTTTCACACTGCTGGAGACAGCTCTCTGCTGTCTCACGCGCGCGCGTGCGTGTGTGTGTTTGCGCGAGCGTGTGTGTGCCTGTAAGTGTATGTGCGCGCGCTTGCGCGATTACTACCAAAAGACATCAGTTTCACTTCAGGGTCTGAAGTCAGTTTTCTCTGCTCGCCTTTTCTCCTCCCAGAGTGGCCCCAAAACAGCCCCGCCTCTGCCCCCAGGACCAATGAGCTTTACCTGCGCCTCGGGCCCCTCCGGGACGCGCTTGTAGGAGCGGTAGATACCCCATCTCAGCAGTTTGGAAAACATGGTCCGCGCAGGTGCTGGGCAACCAGAGGCGGAGAGGTGGGGAGACCTGTCACCTCTCTCGGCTCCGAGTCTCAGACTGGCCCCTGCAAAGTGGTTGAAAGCGCGTGCCCAGCGCCCGCCGCGGCGGCTACCACCCACTTCTCCACCAGCCCTTCCTGCAGGCGAGCAGGGCTGCGGGAGGAGGGAGGCGGGAAGAGGAGCTGAGTGGGAGGAGTGCCGGGACCGACAAGAAGAGGAGGGGCCTGCTGCGGAATCTCGGGATCCGTGCCATTTGATTAGTTTGTTTTTGACTCATTTATTTATTTATTTAAGATCTATTTTATTTGTACATACAGCACTGGGGTACAGGCCAGAGGCTCAGGGGCGGTGAGAGGATTCACCAGAGACAGAGTGGGGAGCACAACAGGCAGATCTACGAAGTACACTGCTGAGGGGAGCAGAGCGCCGGTCAGAAGTGGTCTGGTGGGTCACCTCAGGGGTGGGCGGGGATCGAACTCTTGCTGCAGTGGCTTTAGCTTCTTAGTGCTGTGCTTTAACCCGCTGCGCCACCAGGCAGGGCCCAGTCATTCATTCTTAACTCAGTTTTTAGGGTTTTTTTTTTTAATAGAAAATCTCTCTTTCAATGAAAATCTCCAACTTGATTTTTCATCCTTGTTATGGCGACATTTATCTGTTTGCACATAGCTATCGCCTAGAAATACTATCAAGGTCAATAGTTATCAGAATTTTGCAGAACAAATTTACTTCAGTGGCTTGAAACTTTGGAAAATTATATACTTCTCTTGGTAACAGAAAATTGTAACAATATAATTAATCTTAATTTACTTAGCAAATTAATTATAAAACAATTTTTTTAAAACCATAGTAACTAGGAGTGTAAAAAAAATTGTGATATTTGACATACACAAGTGATTGTAAAAGTTAAATTGCCATTTTGACTTCTAAATGAATATTAGCAAATCATACCCCTTGTTTAAAGAAGTTTTGGTGTAAGCACACTTCACCTTAAGGATGATCTGTTGATCCATGAATCTATCATGGGTCTGAAATATTTTGTTTTGATCTACTTAGAATCTGAAACAGCAAGAGGGGATCATTTTAGGACTTCTGAATAGCAGAATTAAGGAGTAATGTGTTAATCTTACCAGAGTAAACATTCTTTCAGGACCAAGGAATATTCTGTCTTCTGTTTAAACCTAATATTAGAGATAGATGGAATGAAGTGTGAATTAGAAAAAAAGGTCAGCTTCCTGGAGAACTGATTTGCAAGATAATACCTACAAAGGTGTTGGCCTGCCCAAACCTGCCAACTTTTGTATAAGGATTAGACCAAATGATACCTTATGGGGATTAAAGTCCTGGGAAATGTTTAGAACATTTTTTTTTCCCACTGTTTTAATTTTTTGCATTGTTGATCATTTCTATACAGTGTTTGACTTCTCCCCTCAGGTGGAAGGGATACAGAGTCACTCAGAGGACACATTTTATTTCACTTTCTTCCTTCTTTAAACCATATTTGTTGACCTTATACAAAGAGGACATTTTATAATATGTTCTTCTTTGAAATATACCTATCTGTGAAGAACAAAGTTCTCACCTCTGGACTGAGAAACTTGCATTAATTTTTCCAGAATGTTCCACAAACTCATGTGCCAGTTTAAATACATTTGCTCAGCAGCCTAAGAAGGAGACCCTCACCCCAACTGCAGAAAAGGCAAGATCTTGCTATAGAGGTCACCCCTTGCTTTTTTCAAAGGTCGTTGCAATGAAGGAACTTTGAACCTGTGCCATACCTATAGGAAGCCAGGAAGTAGAGACCTAAAAATAGTGTAGGCTCTAAACTGATCATTTGTCTTCTCTCTCTTGGAATCAGTCTTCTCCACAAAGGCTTGTTCTAGTAACTGGAAGTAAAAAGATTTCCACCAATACTCAGTTCTATTATGACACCTAGCTCTTTGGTGGGAGGAAAGAAGGCTCCTGAAGTTACTGAGTAGAAGACTTCCTGGGTGTCAGATATCTGCAATAATGGAGTGTCTCCAATCTCCCAAAGGGATTAGGAGAAAATATACCTGTGGACCCCACAAAAATTGCATTTTATTATTGTCTTTCTTCATTTTGAAGGATTTGCAATATAGTGCTAGCAAGAAGAGGTAAGGGTTTGTGTGTGTGTGTGTGTGTGTGTGTTATTATTATTTTTTTTTAATAAAAAATAACTATGTACCATTGCTTCGGTACATAGTTAAGGGTAGCAGTGAAATAAATGATCTCATTTTCTTAGGGAACAGAAAGTATAAAATAAAATGACCTTGACATAAACAAAACCTTACCACAAAGTTAGCATTCTGACTCACCAAATTCTCATGCTGGTTGGATTGTGAGATAATTATTTCCCTCTTGCAGCAAAAAGAAAATCATGGAGAGGTGGAATAAAAGGCATATGGATTTAATGGTAGAAGGAGCTTATTTTATGTCAAAGTATTCAGTGGTTTGGACTGTTGGGAAAATCCATAAGGACTTATGTCCTTTCAGGGATCCTAGTCTGTTTTATAAGTTCTGCAGCAGAGGAAAGCCTATAGACTGGAGCTACAATCTCAGGCTGATAAGAATAAAGACTGAAAGAAAGAACTTCCTGTTTCCAATAGTTAGCAGGACATCTCCTGGTCTCTGTGGCAGAGGAAAGAAATTTCTTTCCTTCAAGAAGATTTCAGGCTGTGTCTTTTTAGTTACTAGGTGACAAAGTAGATTTTTTGTTACTATTCTTGTTAACTTTGGTATGAAAATTTGAATTAGCAATAATACTATTCTGTTCATGGAACACTGGTTTTTTGCAGGGTCATTTTTATTTTATTTTGTCTTATTTGCTTTCCCCAATGACGTACCTACTTTTCCCCACCAAAAATTATTATCTGAAGTTACAAATTAGTATCTTTTCCATCCAAATTCTTTACATTTATTGAAATACTTCTTTAACTTGAAAGCTACATGGCACTACTTTATATGCTTTTAAAATTTATAAAACAGTAATATGTTATAAAGTCCTCTGAATATAATTCCCTTTCTCCTCCCATAATTTTGTACTTCAATATTTTTTATAAGCACATAGCCTTGTGTGTCTATGCAATACCCACCCTGATTGCTGCAAAATGTTTTGTTCTATACAAATATAACTTACAGGAACTCCAGTGTCATAAAGCACACAGATTCTAAGATAAGATTGTGGGTTCAAGTCTTGTTCCAATATTTAACAGCAATTAATTAACTCTCAGGGCTTACTTTTCTATGAAATGTAAACAGTGGCGGATGCTTTCTTCATAGGTTTATTATATGTTTCAATTACTTAACAGGTAAAGCACTTAGTACAGCTAGGATTATATGTAAGGATTATATGTTTCAATTACTTAACAGGTAAAGCACTTAGTACAGCTAGTGCACATGATATATATCACATGGTTGTTATGATGATTATTACTTATCTAGTTACCCAGTTACTAACATGCACACTATTTCCAACTCCTTTTCCTCAAATCAGTGCTATGAAGAATCTGGTAAACTAGGATTCTCAAACTCTTTGGACTGAGGAGCTCTTTACAAAAGTCAAAATTAGGGCCCTCCCTGGTGGCGCAGCAGGTTAAAGCACAGCACTAAGAAGCTAAAGCCACTTCCGCATGAGTTCGATTCCCGCCTGCCCTGGAGGAGATCCACATGGCCAGGCAGACCTCTCCAGACCCGCCCGCTGCTCCCCTCAGTAGTGTACTTCGTAGATCTTCCTGTTCTTCTCCCCACTCTGTCTCTGGTGAATCCTTTCAACCTCCGCATCTCTAGCCTGTACCCCAGTTCCATATGAATAAATAAATCTTTAAAAAAAAAGGTCAAAATTAGGGCTCTCCCTAGTGGCACAACGGGTTAAAGGCACCACATTATGAAGCTCTCCTAAGCCACTGCAGTACGAGTTCAATCCCTGGCCAGGGAGCTGACCCACATGGTGTGGCAGACCTCTCCTGACCCGCCTGCTGCTCACCTCAGCAGTGTACTTCATAAATCTGCCTATTCTGCCCCCACTCTCTGTGGTGAATCCTCTCACTAACCATACCTCTGGCCTATACCCCACATCTGTAAGCATAAAATAAATAAATCTTTTTAAAAAATCAAAATTAAAGAGTAGTTTTTGCTATGTGGAACATGTCTACTGATATTTACCATATTCAAAATTAAAATTAAAGACTTAAAAATAACGGGGTTGGAAAATTTAAGTATATATATTCCCTCATAATTATTTAAATAAAGCCATTACGCTGCCCTGGTGGAGCGAGGGGTTATGTCTTAGCACTAAGAAGCTATCAGCAGCCATTGCAGCATGAGTTCAGTCCCCAGCCAGGGAGCTACCTTCAAAGTCAGGGAGTTTCTTCTAAGTTAGTTGCAACATGGAAGCTGAAACCCTGCCAGTAAACCTTTTCTACTCAATTAAATTAAAATTCTTTGGGTTTTCTTGCTTTCTGAATGGGTGTTTTCTTAATGCTTACCTAATTTTGTACCATCATTTATTGTCTTTCAGAATGTATTTGTTCCCTGAATTATGAATATTTTCCAAATGTTTGTGTATATTATAACATATAAAATAATACTTATTGCTATCACCATCATTCCTTTGGAAAATTCTTTAAGCATTGGGAAGCTTTTCAGTGCATGGTGACAGATACTAGTATTCTAAAAATATAATATTCTCTGAAAAACTTAAATATTTCATTGGCAACAGGCTCTCAGTTGCATCTGCTGAACTGACAGAACCACTTTATTTCTCCTGGCCAGCACCTCTCTGACTCCTACTTTGCCAGTGACCTAGCACAGGAGGGCTGGTAAAAGAGAAAGGTGGGGTTGAAGCAGAGGCTTGAGTATGAGCGAGCAGAAGATTAATCTCAATTTACATTTGCTAACTGTCTGAAGCTAGGCAAATTATTTAGCTTCTAGTTTCATAGCTTCAGTTTCCTCCATCTAATTTTGACCTTACAGAACATCAAAAGTACTGAGCTGGAAACTGAATAAATTTTTGTGCACAGAATGCATGCTATTGTAGGTACCCAATGATATTACAATGGCTGTTATACTGAAAGCCATATCTAAAA